TCAAATTAATTTAGGTACAGTGTTACATGACCAAGTAACAGTCAGTCAAACTATCACAGTACTGATAAGCTGAAAAATGGCCTGGTAATGAATAGGTATTACAGACTGGTACTTAAGTGGTTAAAAAGATGACACTAAATATTGTGAAAGGGTTCAATATTACCTTTACAGGTCTAAATAAGGCTAATACATTATTTATGTCAAAAACTACCTGTCAAAATGATCAGCAGATCCAGAGCTATAGAAAACTGGATTTCTCTGCACATCTCAAGGCAAGGTTTGAACATAATTTTAGGTGCTTATCTTACTATATCTGATGATTGTCTTGGCTTTTGCAACATTTTTCATAATTTCTCAATCTGAATTGGCCAGTTTTGTGACAGGTTTACTTTGAAGCTGAATAAAATAAGGTCGTCCTGACATACTACCCATGCTGATCCAAGAAAATCAAATCCCAGCCTTTTTTGCCTAATTTTAGTTTTGGATAGAAGGGAAACATGTCAGGATTTAGTTTTAATTTTGTGACCACTGGGGGGGGTTCCTTCACTTCCCGTATAGTCACCAGGACAGGACACAACTATATAACACAAAGGGCTGGGGAACACCATGCTGCAAGGGGGTGGCAGTCAGAGTTTTGAGCCGGCTTGAGCAAACTCAGGCAAACTATATTTGCACCAAGCTCAGCCTCATCTGTACTAAGGACTGGTAAGTTGCAATATTCAGATGACCCCGCTCGGAGCGCCGCACACCGAGCAGCAGTGACGCGACGCTCGGCGAGGTAAGTAAGATGACGCGCTGGCGCTGACTCGAGTATAAGCCGAGGGGGGCACTTTTCACCCAAAAAAATGGGCTGAAAATCTCGGCTTATACTCGAGTATATACGGTATTATTGTTTTTGGTTTTAACACAGTCTCCCATTGGGGCCATAGGAATAAGTGTATTATTGATTTATAGTGCCAAACACTGCCAGTCAACAAGAAATATTAGTTTTCATTAAGGTGCTTGGGAACTAGCAAGCTGAATACCAATTAGCCAGGTGTGTGTGGCATAAACATGCAGCTTTCCAATGCATAAGGGTTACAATGCATTAGTGCTGATAAATAAACTAGGAAAGCCCTTATCAGGGTCAGCATTCCTATGCCTGGTAGTGAATTCACAGGCTCTACACAGAGAGCATAGTGCAACAATAAACAGCAAACGCAGATTTGTCCAGCTATTGTGATGCACTCCCAGCATGTGTTTGTCCTCTAGTGTCTTCTGTGCCTTCAGGATACGATGCCTTCTTCACTATTTGGCTGACAGATGGCTGCAGTACATCCATAATAAAGATTGTTTCCCCTTACTTCACAAAAAGGCAAAATGTCATCTATCAGTTGCAACGGGCTTTGTCAACATGTTGTAAAATGTATTTATGTGATAATGATCACTTCCAAGCATTTATTACAGCAACCCCTACAAGATCCTACTTTTTTCAAGATATGATCAACACGATCACATTGTTGCTAAGGCCAGGCATAAATGGACCCAAAGATCAAAGACAAATGTATTACACTCGTCTAACAAAGCACACCTTTGTCTGGCAGATGTGAGCTTAATATCATTGGTGAGAAAGAGACAGTCCAAGCAACCAGTTTGTCATTCATTAAAAGATGGAGAAGCAGAGCATGTCCAATGCCATAGTTTAAAAAAAAAAAAAGGTGACTGGTCCTCTTAAACACCCCTCAAAATTTCTTCAACTATAATGGAAAGTGCCTGGAGGGAGGAAGAACTGTTGTTGTTACCCAGACATACCCAATAGTCCCTTTCAATGTGCCATTCTGTAGAATATTGACTGATTTTTTTATAAAAAGCAAGAACAGTTTTTCCTTCAAACCATTTTAATTATGAAACCAATACTCTGTGTTATCAGTAACAGCTAGACTTCAGATATTTTTTTTACTATAGGTTAGAAAATGAAAAGGGATCATTTGACTGGATGCTTTGGTAAACACGGAAACTAGTGTCTCAGCAACCAATGCATTCTATATAGCCTCTCAACTACAGAATCTGATGAAAACTAAACTAAAAAATTAGCACTGGGTCTTAACTTATTTAGAAGGTATATACCTCTCTCTTTGGGAATATTCTTTAAAGCCCAGTTGTTGAGGACTTATTGCAGCGATTCCCAGAGCACACACTTTTATAAAGCAATCCTATTTCAGAAATGTGATTTTTAATCATCTGTGAAGAATGTAGTTATTGCTCAATCTGTGCTGCACTCGGTCAGGACACATTGCTTTTCTCATGGAGTGTGGGAGATAATTGTTAGTGCTAGATATAATCTGGGTCTAACTACAAGAGAATTATTTATTTGGGGATAATAGATCTGCACTGGTTAAATTAGTTTTAACTACAGCATTTGATTAATGAGCAGAATTCAAGCAAGGACACGCCAAGACAGCGAGCGTGCGTAAAAAGGAAGACCTACATTTGGAGCTTGTTACAACTGCAGCATATGAGCATAACCGAATCCAATTAAACATGGCACATACTGTAATAACAGCAAGCGCAGTTTAAAACTATTACTTGAAAATGACTCATTTTTCACAGCTTAGATACCTCATGACACATTTCATGTTACCGATATAGGTCTTTGAAAAACTGTACAGGTATCTTAGTTTTAAGAATAACATTTATTATTTTTAGTTATCTTATCTTTATCTCCTAAAAACCCTTGTAACAACCTTTGTTAACCATTGTACGGTACAAAACAATCATTTACTAATTGTATGATAGCTTTCTAGGTATTCTTTTGTCACACCAAGCCCCCCTCCCGCTCCAACAAAGTCACAATGGTTAATGAAATTAGTTCAAAAAGATTACTGGATTATTCTACAAGTTATAACGAATCCCAGCCAAATATTTTGTGTTGATACAGCAGGGAAACATTAAACCTTATTCAGGTTTGTGTCCTCACTGGGAAAATACACAATTTGTCATTGAGACCAATGTCACCCAGACCAAATCTGAAATGTTTCAGTTGTCACAATGCATAACCGGAGGAGATATCTTTTAATCTGAACACCTGTTCTAGTAATAACTATCAAAAGCAGGATATCTGGTCAGTACTGTAATTGCCAGATACAATTACAGAGTTCAAAAAATTTACTTTTTTTTTTAGTATTTCTGCACATTTCTCAGCCTATAATAAAAAATAAAGCAAATTTTCACTTACAACAGTGTACCGACAAATGCCTTATACGCCCTTATGAAATATAAAACATTTTTAAGTATGCGAATTAAAGTTTTTGTCAAATTAACTTCGACGCTGCTAAATGTGGCCTGAGCATCAGGGGAATCAATGACCTCTGGTCATAAAAGGGTTAAAGGAAATTTGAGCTTACCATTCTGCTTTGTATTGCAGCTTTTAATGACCACTATTCTGCATGATGCATGCCTTTGGTAAGCTGTCTTTTAGAAAGCAGGCACCTCAGCTAATACTACCATCCCATGTGACTTCAGTGGGCCGACTGTCAGCAATTTATCAATATCAAACACACAAAAGAAGGCTGCTCTTGTATATACTAGAAAAAAGAACAAATGCAACTTGCACAATTTTACTGTAACCCAGTAAAGCTTTTGTGTTTAATACCTAACTCTGGGCTCCATGCTCACCCCAAAAGACCCCTTCTTAAAGGCCCTTGCAGCAGCATGTTTTTATTCTCATTTTTTTTACTTACCTTTTTTCTGACGTCTTTTGAACAGTCACATGACCTCTTAGGACTTCTCTTGGTGGTGGGCAGTCCTGAATGATGCAGACAGCAGGACTGTCAGGATGACATCAGTGTCACTCTTTGCACCATTCATCCTTGAAAACTAAGGACATCTTGTGGCAAAGAGGTACTGCAGGGGACAGCTCTGGATTAAAGGTAAGTATTGCAGACAAAGTGTCTTGTAAAAAAACAAAACTAAAACTGGCATTGGGTTTTAGCAAAGCAGTCATTCACACATGATTGGTGGCCTTGGGGACCAGCTGGGTTCCTGCTTTCATTTGTTTAGATGAATGGTTTCTGTGAATGGTTTCTGCAGCTCCACTTCTATGTGCCTCAGAAACCTGAACCATTTTTGATTTACAGACTGGCTAAATACCATGACAATATAGCCTGTTAACACCCTGGGCACTTGTGAATCATAGAGGCATCTTGTCTTAACAACTTCTTTAACATGTTGACTTGCAGAATAATGATCAGCCCACCATACTTTTTTCCCCCTTTTGGTAACAGCCACATCAAATATTTACTTAAAGGTTAGCAATTTGTGCTTGCAATGTTCTAATCCATTCAAATCTAAACAGTATTCCCCCCATGGAACAACATGAGGTAAAAACATCAACATTGTAATCATTAAAAAAAAAAAAGCCTGCAGGTGAAAAAAAACTACAGTGAATGTTATATTTCCACACGTTCAAGTCAGCATTTTCCTTTTAAATAATGCCATTTTTTAAGAAGTGCTTGCAAAAATGTACTGGAGCAAGACCAAAAATAGACTCCAGTGAAAACATTTTGATAAAAGCACTGAATACATTTAAAATGATGATGAAAACAATTTAATATTGTGCCTTGTAATGCAATTTCTATAGGAAAAAAAAAGGAAATAGAAAATCATGTGACTTTCCCTGGGCTCACAAATCCCAGGGGAGATAGTTTTGCAGAAAACCTTAAAATGATTACAGCACTGAAGAACTCACCATACTTTCATTTTATAGATTAAACAAAACAGTGGAATGAAAAAAAAAAAAGGATATTTTATTCTGTAAAAAGCAATAGATGTTCCTTCAAGGTGAAACGAATGGCAAAGCCTAATTCTTCACAGCGGGCCCCAGAAAATCCACTGGGCGATGATTTGCTGAAATATGCAGTGTATATTATCCTCCCTCAATGGGAGTAACAAGCTTTGTATCTCCTAGCAGTAAGTACAAAACAATAATATATGGATGGTTGTTGGAAATAGAAGTACAGTACCTGTTTCCTTAGTTTGTCTTCACAGTCTTCACATTCCAAACGTTTACTTATCCTGTTAGATAAAACACTTATGTCAGAGAAGGAATCTTAAAAGTGGACAAAGAATAATCACAGAATACAGTTACATCTACATTCTAAATGCCACAGTAAATTGTAAATCTTCTTTAATTACAAGATTAGATGATTATATTCATAAGATTAATGAATGATTAAGGAAATGCCCATTTGAAAATCACAGGAATGTACAGTATATGCAGTCAGATAGAACATGTTCGAACAGCCTCCATTTTCATACAGTCCTATCTCCACATTCCTGTTACAGCAGTTGTTCAGAAAGTCCAAATGCGACTGTGCAGACCAATAGGGACCACAGTTAGAACCATTGATTCCAGCAATTAGCAAATATACAACTTTTCTTCCTCTGCAATACTAGTCTGCATGGGCTTTAGGCAATGTAAACAACTTTATAAAAACACATTCTTTAGCAGCTGATACACCACTTTATAAAACACTGGCTTTGCCACATCTTGAGTATGCAGTTCAATTTTGGTCACCAGTCCTCAGGAAGGATGTCCTTGAACTGGAGAAAGTTCAAAGAAGGGAAACAACATTATTAAAGAAGAACTCCAGTTATTTAAAAAGTTAACTCTTGCAGTGGTGCTACCCCCTGCACAACAAAGGTGTACTGCTCATTTTTCTTTAGGGTCCAGAATACAAAAATATTCTCACTTGATCCTCAGTCCTGCGGTGGTGCTCACCTCTCTCTCCCTCCGCTCCAGGTATGGTACATCCCTCGGTGTCCCCACATATAATGGAGGTGAATGGACTGCACTAGACGTGATGGCGTCAGCGGGGTTCAGACCACCGAAGGTCAGGGAAGAAGAGGCTGCAGCGACTGGTCTAGCAGCTAAGCGGGATTGAGGATCAGGTGAGCATAATTTTTTCTTCTTTTGAATTTGAGATGCTTTGAGACCCTAAACCAAAACCAGCAGTTAACCTTTACAGCGTGGGAATGTCTGGGACCCAGGAGGCCGACAGACGCCCCCACTATTCAAACTGGGCATATCCCTGTAAAGTAAAGAAAGCTTGTTCCCAGATTTAGTGTGCTTGAAAGGCCAGGACTTGCAACAAAACTGAGGGCCAGGCTTGGGCTCTAAAGCCTGGGAGGGACAAAACTTTCCTTAAAAGGAGGGAGCAGAGGATATTGCTGCTGGAGGCTTGGACTTCTTCTTCTGTGGTAAGAAGGTGCTCTTGCCCCCTATTCCAAGGATTCAACAAACATGCTATGTTCAAAGTGCTTCTTGCAAGGAAGCTCCGCAGACCAGCATTTAAGTCACCCGATCTATTGCATGTGGATAGGCAGGAGACCAATCCTTGAGATTTATTGTTTCTGAGGGTATCTGCCAGGCCACCAATGCAGTAAGGTAGCAGAAAAGAGTTCTAGCTGGTTTAGAGGGGCAGGGTCCACCAAGATAGACTCAGGCTCCCTAACCATAGCTTTTGCCCACGCAGATGAGGGCTAACACACCACCATAGAGGAAACAGTAGGTTGCATATCAGGGCCTGCAAGGGTAAATAGGATCTTGAAGAGGGTTTTTAACATCTTGTCCACATGGACCTTGAAAAGAGGAGAATTATCTTCAGCAGGGAGGTAGCCAAACATCTGTCTTTCAGCAGTGGTGAAACTACAAATCCTTAAAGGAATTGCAAAGCATGACTTCCAGAGCCAAAAGCATTATGAGATTTGTAGTATCACTATACCTAGAATGTTTGGTTACCCCTGCTCTATAGGGACCATTAAAGTTTTGTTAAAAAAGGTGCTATCTCTGTCATAAATCTAGCTATTCCTTTTTGAAGGAAATCCTCATTTTTTTCAGGGTGATCAAAGCCATTGTACAACACTGGCTATAAAAGCACACGTACAGGGAAGGTTTTGGCAGGTTTGGACAACAACCTTTGCCAATGTTCCATATCTTCATTTCAGCAGGGTATAAGTACAGTTTGCCAAAGGGAAACATGATCCAGATTGCAGTTGATGATCCAGATAGCAGTGGCTTTGAGAAGCTTAAAGGAAACTTGCTAGAAGAGTCTTGAGAAGAAAAATGCATAAAAGGATGTGCTCCCCTCAGAACAGAGAGAAGGCATCCATCACCTACGGACACTAGCAAAAAAACTGAGGCAGGCTGGGAGTGGTTATATAGGGCTGTCCTTAATGCTTGGATTTGCCAATGTCCAATCACCTGAAGGTGGCTCCATAACCCATTGGTTCCAGAATTAACTTCCTGCGTTCCGTCATGCACAATTAAAAGAGAACTATGGGCCGGTCTTTTTGGCCATATTTCTCTATGGGATCACAGGAGGATATATACTATGTCCTCCTGTGATCCAAAACCCAGCATATAGCAGCCTATTGCCCACTATATGCTGACAGCGCAGAGCTGCGCTGCAGCAGGGAAGGATCTTGATAATCGTCAGGATCCACCCCACCACCTGATTGACAGCTGGCTCTGCCTCTCTGGAGTCAGTGCTGGAGGAACAGATAGGGGAGGGGGAATGCCCGGAAGTAGGGAAATTAGCAATCGGCAGTATGTAATAGCTCAGTTGTCAATCTATAGAGCCGATGTGTGACAGCATCAGCGTCACACATTGGATCTAATTATGGGGAAGAGTGTATTTCACTCTCCCCATAATTATCCTTTAAGAAATATAATTATTTATGATATATCCCCTAACCAATTAAAATGCATACTAACTAGATCTAACAAAGTCAATGCAAAAGGTGTCTAACTGCTGTCATGCTTGTCACTCTTATCTCGGTTACCTTTATTTAACATATAAGAATGTAAGTGAATTGCGTTTTTTACATATATTCTTGCTTATGCGCTTTGAAATGAAAGGGAAATTCATCCAACAGATGCAGATGTTCTTAAAATGCACAGAAACACAGCACATGAATTTTCATGCGTTTACCGTTCAGCACAATGAGCCTAATGACAATATATAAAGATAATGAGCTAATACACAAAAAAAGCTACACGTCATATTTGGATAAAAAGGTGAGCTGAAGCACATGGAGGTGAACTATCTCCCTAGCAATGAAAAGGATTTGTACTTGTAAAGCATTTGAATGCAGTAAAATATAGAAGAGACAGACATGAATGTTTTTTTTCATTATATAAAACATGTATTTATAAACTTGTATAGAACAGCGGATGAAATAAAAAAGACAAAAATGAAAATATGAAAAGGTAAACGGCAAATGCTGTACACACTGCATTGCAACAAGTTGCTCAATGACAAGTGGCCTGATTCTTTTCTAGCAAGGCAGGAACCGACAGCATTATCATGAAGGTATTACAATGGAAAATACTAATTTAACAGTCAGATATGATGAAAGCTCTGCACCTATTACATTAGTGTATGTCTTACCTCCAGCACTGCCAAGAACACTAATCCTCAGAATGTAAATATTCATAGCCAGTCGCATACAAAAAAGAGACAGATAAAAGCATGCGTCCCTTTAAGCTAAGTAAAATGTAAAGCGTTATATGCCAGGGTTGAAGCTATTAGTGAGATCAATATTTCTTCTACCGCCTTAATAAATCATTATATTACAGCACTAATGCTGGATGAGAATATCCCTGCTAACCAGGCAAAGCTTCCATATCAGAAAGAAAGGCAACATTTAAATTACAAAAGCCTAATTGGCGTACAAAAAGGAATTGCAAGATACTGTTTTGTGTGTTGCTCGACATGCAACTTCTTCAAATCAATACTGAAGGAAAGAGAGAGAAAAGGGCTTGTTCTGAAAGTGTATTCTGCCCTGAGCCTGTGATACACAAACATGAAGAGACAAAGCTATACACCTCTAATCATGGTGAAAATTATTATCCTGAGGTAAGATGCATTCCACTCCACAACACTCAATACATTTAGTTCTCAAGCCTGGATAAATGTTAAGAGACATATTTTACAACAAGACGTGCATCCCCAGTGAAACACAATTTCCACATATTGATGTCTTGATGCAAATAACAGTGCTTGGCTATATCATGTGCATATATATTTGTTCGCTTTGGCTACTATTGCTTAGCTTTCTTTTACAGCCACTTTGCAAATTTTTTTTAGACCTGCCACTGCATGCAAATATAAGGCCTGCAAATGAACACACCAAGCATTTTAAATACTAATAATTCAGCTACAGATGGATTAGGCTCTTATATTCATTATGGATATTGGATGAGCACTCTCATCGCCAGAGGCTCTGTAAAAGATAAGCTGCTTGTGGCTAATTTGATAGACCAAAACCTACCCCAAATTGGAAATGGGCTCATCCTTAAAGGAACCCATCGAGTTTAGATGATGATGGTCATTCATTAGGAAAATATGAACATCTGTGAATTATGACACTTTAAGGGTGGTATATGTTCAAAGCCAACAAAAACAGACTTGCCGCCTTGATTCACAAAGGAATACGTTTCTTGGGGATAAATAGGATAAAGCAAAAAAATTGCTTCACAAATTAGGACTTGCAGGTGATGTGACCAATCGGGTTGCTAATAGCAGCACAGGAGTTTCTTCCTTCTGATTGGCTGGGTTCAAAGTCTTATGGAGCAGGAAATGGAAGTGGAAGGAAGAGACAGAACGATGTGAGGCAGCCTGCATCCTCAGAAGTTTCCCTACGTTATGTTACAAAACATTTATTCTTACCCATATTTTTAGTAAAACATAAAAGTCGGGGTCACGTCGGGTAAATAGACACCAAACATGTCAAGCCTTGAAATTGCGTGCGCCCGCAAAATCGCGAAAAATGCCCATAGGCGTCGATTAAAACACTTTTACTGCTCATCAGTTTAGTGTTATCAGTGATTAATGGCTCTAAAACTATTGCTCTTGCGGCGATATATGTAACATGTGCGGCACAATAAGCACAATCGTCGTTTTCGCGCGTAGGCGCACTTGACGCATATATGCGTGTGTATGTGGGGGGCGGGGACTTAAAAAAATGTTTTTTATGCTTCTTTAATTTTTGTACGATTCTTCAATTTTTAT